AACTAGCTGGGTGTTATGGTGAGTACCTGTATTCCCAGCTACTTTGGTGGGCTGAAGAAAGACGATCACTTAAGCCTAAGAGTTTGAGATTGCTGTGAGCTATGACACTAATTGCAGTCTACAGAGATTGACAAAGCAAGACTCTGTCCCAATAAAAAAATACATAGCTCTTTTCTGTGGCACCTCAGAGGCGTTCAGATACTTCAGGGTGAAGCTGAACATCTCCTTCCCAGCCACTGGCTGCCAGAAACTCATTGAAGTGGACAATGAATGCAAACTTCATACTTACAGAGAAGCGCATGGCCATAGAAGTTGCTGCTGATACACTAGGTGAAGAATGGAAGGGTTATGTGGTCCGAATCAGTGGTGGAAATGACGGGTTTCCCCATGAAGCAGGGTGTCTTGACCCATGGCCAGGTCTGCCTGTTGCTGAGTAAGGGGCATTCCTGTTATAGACCAAGGAGAACTGGAGAAAGGAAGTGCAAATCTGTTCGGGGTTGCATTGTGGATGCCAGTCTGAGCATTCTCAACTTGGTTATTGGAAAAAAAGGAGAGAAGGATATCCCTGGACTGACACTATCGTACCTCGGTGTCTGGGGCCCAAGACAGTATCTGACTTTGTTGCCCTCGGTAGAGTTCTGTGGTGTCACAGCTCACAGCAACCTCCAGCTCTTGGGCTTAGGCAATCCTCTTAAGCTCAGCCTCCTGAGTAGCTGGGACTATAGGCGCCTACCACAATGCCTGGCTATTTTTTTGTTGCAGTTTGGCTCGGGGCTGGGTTTGAACCCAAAGTAATATGCATACAAAAAAATTAAATTTGAATTAGGTTCTATACTTTAGTTTTCCAAATCAGATTCTGAGGTACTTGATTGTTTTTGTGAGAAGTATTCATAAGGCCTACCTCTATATCCAAATTCTTCAGCAGTGATTGAGTCTCCTGAATTTATTATATTCCATATTTATACTCCTTCAAGAATCCACTATTTGTACTGTTATTTCAGGTACAATTATGAAAAATACTGAGAATGAAGCATATGGATCACTTGAGCTCAGGAGTTCAAG